ACAGCTTGTGAGCAGAACTTCTGTTTGGTTGTATCCTATATATGGGTGTCCCAGGAAATGCCTCCAAAACTTTGGGAAGTTATTCATTAGCATATTTTAAGTGAAGAATGTTCTATCAACATAGGTCAAAACTGATAACTGATAACTAGTTATGATGGATGGAAGAGGAGGAAACTCAAATAAATGTGCAGATTAAATTATTTAATTGGAGAAATGAATCTGTTATTCATGTTCACTGAATATACTTACCAAGTTTTCTTGTATTTCCACAAGAAAATATGAAGTCGTGTCATGTCTGGCGAACGGTGGTGAGGCATGCAGACTTCCACAATCAATTCGTCAGTTTTCAAGTTCTGTGTGATTCATAGGCAGAAATGGATGGCCGAACTGTCATTTAGAAATGGCTGACTTTTTGTAGATTTGAAGACTTAGTTGGAAGTATTTTATTGTTGATTCAGAACTGTGGCAGATAGTGAATGCTAATTTAAAGATAAGTGTGGCCAGTACCAATTTAGGATGAGGACCCCAAGGACAGAAGAATAATGGAAATAGATTTATTCGATAACTGCATAGCAGTTGATAATTTTATCCATGTTTAAATTATGTTTTTCTCTCAAAATAAACCAATGAATAACCACCCAATGTTAGCAGACATTTTATGGGATATCCTCTAAATTACAGATTGGTATTGTGTAGTTACTGTTAAATTTTATCATTATTTTTATTTCAAAGGTTATTATGCACTAAGAATACAGAATATAATGACCAGTAATTAGAGATTTTTTTCCTAAAATCAATTTCTGAGATTCTGGAGTGTATTCGTATAAAACACAGCCAGCTGTTAATGGTGCATTTTTTAGGTACATGAATTAAGCTTCCTTTGTCCTCTGCCCACAATATAATATGATTTTTAGAGGTTGCTTTGAGAGAAGCTCTATCGAAATGGAGTCTGAAAGATGTCATAGCTGTATATAGTATGGGAAACATATAGATACATGCTGAAAATGATAGGTAATGTATGTATGATGAGGATTTGACAAAATTTTAGACCATATTTAGGATAAGAGATGAAATGGCACTTTGTATGACAGACGAGTGACACTTTGAACCTAAAAACTGAAGGTTTTAAAGACCATATATGTAATTCCACATACACATTTAGTCTTTTTGAACCAACATTATTTAAATTTATAATTCAGTTCTGATAAATATAGCTGTAACATATGGCAAAATAATGTATTAAATAGCTGAATTAAACAATATACGAGGGTCGCTCATTAAGTAATGCCCCACATTTTTTTCCTCAGAACATATTTATTCAAGATGGCTCAAATTTAGTGACAATATAAATCAATGTTTCCTTTACACATACTATTTTTCCACATAGTCCCCATCAACTTGTACGGTTTTACGCCAGCGTGGAACAAGGGCATGCATGCCTTGCCGGTACCAGCTCTTGTCCTGTGCACGTAGCCATGTCCTCACTGCTTGAATCACGCTCTCGTCATCTTCAAATCTTGTTCCGCGGATAGCATCTTTAAGGGGCCCAAAGAGATGGAGTCGGAGGGTGGATGGGGCAGCACCGTCCAACCCAATTTGGTGATTTCTTCCCGGGTTCTC